CTCTCCACAAGTGTGAATTCGCAGAGCACCACTCGAAGAAAGATGGTCACAGGTATGTAACCTACCAATAAAGAGTAGGGTTCTATGTTGTATATTGTATGTATTTCATTTGATTCATGCATACAATGCAATATTAAGAAAAGTGGGTGGCACCCAGGCCAAAAATGTAAGAATTGTAACTCTCACCCAGTAGTTTTGCATAAGTTTCATAAATGTCATAACTCTCCCTGCGATGCAGTTTGTAATTCACAGAGCAAGCAAACAGTACCAGGATGCAAAGCCAAATTTCTTATGCTTCTCAGCCTGTTAGGGCTGGGGGTGGGGTGGCGTAGGGTGTGAGTGAGAAGAGGCAGAAGTGAAGTCATGGCCATTCTCCTTTAAATTCAGGAGCACCACGTGGCAGTCTCAATTGCAAACGAGCAGGGAGGGGAGTACGGGTGGGAGAGAAGAGACTAGAGAGCATGCTGTAGGCACTAATAGGCATAGGCGAAGCTAGGCTAGGCTACTAACTAACTACTATCAGGCATTACCGTTCCCATGTTTAAAGAAATGAAATCTCAGTTACTTCTACTATCTGTTCTGGGGGGATGTATTTTAAATAAAAGGAAATTTCAGTTCTCATTCAGGAGTGCCACGTGGCAGTCTCAATTGCAAACGAGCAGGGAGGGGAGTACGGGTGGGCCCGGGAGCAGGCCTGGGAGCAGAGTCCCAAACCTGTATATATTTTTTTGTAAAAATATTCTGTGTTTTTGGGAGACCTAGTTCTACACCAGTTCAAAGAAAATAAATATCTGTTATCTCAGTTATTGCCTCTGCTGGGCTAGGAGGAAAGTCCCAAACCTGTATTTTTGCCAAAAACATTATTGGTGTTTTGAGAGACCTAATTCTAAGTTATGAAACTTGATAGGCTTTCAGTGGTAAATGCATTCTCCAATTGTGGCCACCCCACCCTATGCATTCTCCAATTGTGGCCACCCCACTCCACTTCAGCCAGCCATAGCAAATAAAATACATCATAAAGAAATTCAAAAGGATAGGCTTTTAAAAAATTGAGGAAAAAAATCCCACCAAAATCAGTAGATGTGTCAATCCAAAAATGTTCTGAAATTGGGGGTGGGGGGTTACAGTGGTAAATGTGTTCTACAATTGTAGCAAGTTTCATCCAGATAGCTCTAAAAATGAGGGAGAAAGAAGTCCAGAAGCTTCCCCACTTGCACAATTATATAAACGAAAATGCAACAAAACTACTGTTACTTTGTTATAGTTATGATACGGACTATTACAATATTTTAGAAACGCTTCAATAAGGCAGCTAGTTGTGCAGATCTTGATGAGTAAGACAATTGCAGCTGATAACATTTATTTCTTTTTCCCAGCATTTTGACCCTAGTTTGCAGTAAATTGCTCTTTATATAATTCTAAACACCCACTATTTTATATGTACAATATAGTCTTTCTCCTTCATATGTTACCTCATCTCTATTACATATCAAATTATAGTCTGGGCTCACTCTTGTTTTGCTGACTAGTATTCACTGGATTCCTGAATTTTGGCACTGCAATTTGGGCATTCTCTCTCTCTTTCCCCCCTAGAAATGCTCCTCAACTTGAATAACTTCATGGCACCCAGGGTATAGTATGCTGGAAACAGCTGCAACTATTGAAATTGGCAGGTGGAAATGGAGAGGCTTTCTGTTCAGTTCATTTTTAAAGGATGGACCAAATTTCACACTGGATTCCTGTGTCAATATGCATATGCATTTTGAGCAAGTGGGGAAGGCTGAAAGGTTTTGTTTGCACATTTATAAATTCCTGCATGTGGATCTTCTTTGTGGCCAATATCCCACATGCTTCACCGTCATGTTGGAGTTTTCCATATAGAATTCTTATGCAGTTTTCCTGTCACCACACTGAGGACATGCCATTACGTTGAGATAGCTACTGCATTGCTGGTGGGTGAGGGCATGAGATAGTCATATGCAGATAAAGGGGACCTTCTGCCAAGATCTGGTGTGATCCTTCAGTGGTCTCAGTAGAAAGTGCCATCAGTCAGAATCTGGCAGTATCTTTGATCTGCTTCACTTCCCATGACAAATAGCTATGTGGGGGTGGAAGTACAATGGAGATTCCAAAATGAAACTTTACTTACTGTGAAGACCTATTCTGAATCTACGTGGTCTTTCACATTGAGGACATAGATTTCTAGATGTAAACTGATCACAAGGGTTTGCTTGACATGCCTTTATCAGGGACATGTTTCTCCCTTCTGCCCTGTATCCATGCCTCTTCAAAATTCACAGCATCATTGTAACAGCTGACAGGGAGATGGTGATCGGGCTTTCAGACAATGTGGTCAGTAGACCAAAGTTGATGGCATAGAATAATTGCTTCAATGCTGATGGTCTTTGCTTCTTCCAGAATTCTGACATTTGTCTGCCTGCCTTCCCAAGAGATTTGCAGATGTGCCTCCTGATCCCTTGTACTATACCACCACTATGTACACCACAAAACAACTAATGCATGAGTGAGGGAAGACTAACCCCCATCCCCACCTTTCTCTTGACAAACAGTTCCCTCTCACTTTCTTCCTTACCCCACCTAAGCAAAGGAAACTCAATGCAAATCCCAGGAATCCATAGGAAGCAGCCACAGATAAAGTGAATTCATAGTGTAATGGTAAAGTGTAAAAAAACTAGATGACATCAACTGTCCCTTTAAAAGATCAAAAATGATTTTGAAGCTCTCAGAAGAAAACTAAAAGATCTTAATGTACAGGTGGTCTTTTCATCTCTCCTCCTCAGCCCAGGAAGAGTGAGAAAAATCTTAGAGTTGAATAACTGGCTCAACAGATGGTGTCAGGAAGAATTATTTGGCTTCCTGGACCATGATCTGCTTTTCCAGGAAGGTGGGATATTGATACAGGATGGATTGTACCTTACAGAAACAAGGAATGTTTTTGCTCAGAGACTGGCAGTCCTGATCAGGTGGACTTTAAACAAGGTTGTGTGGGGGATGATTGCATTATATTTGGGGACAGTAGTTTATCAAGGTCTGGAGTGAACAGACAAAAGGCTAAAGAGCAGTTTGAACAAAAACAGCAAGTTCCAAGCAGCAAGAAGAAAATAATCTTAAATAAACAGCTAAGGGGAATGTCCCATGGGCTTAGATACCTTTACACTAATGCCCAGAGCATGGGAAATAAACAAGATGAGCTAGAACTCTTAGCATGACAAAAACAGCAATGATGTAATAGGCATAACTGAAACCTGGTGGGCTGAGTCCTATAATTGGAATGCAGCAATGGAGGAGTATAACCTATTTCAGAGAAATAGACTAAACAGAGAAGTAGTCCAGGAATATCTGGCTTGTTGTTGTTTATTCATTCTGTCGCTTCTGACTCTTTGTGACCTCATGGACCAGCCCATGCCAGAGTTTCCTTTTGGCCGTTGCTACCCCCAGATACTTCAAAGTCAAACCTGTCACTTCAAGGATACCATCCATCCATCTTGCCCTTGGTTGGCCCCTCTTCCTTTTTCCTTCCATTTCCCCCAGCATCATTGGGGGTGGGCCCATGGGTGGGGGCTCCACCATAAGGGTGGTGACAGGTAGAGGGAGATACGGGAAAGGGAGAGTAAAACATTCATTTCGGCCCAAAATTTACAATAACAGATTGGCAATCCAAAAAGATGGTAACAACTCAAGGAGAAATCAAATCAGACCCAAAATTTATAACAGAACATTGGCAATCCCAAAAATCAATGCTACAATCCGGCCTGAAATTAATAAAAATAAATTGACAGCTTCAAAACATCCTCCCGACAAGATACAACTGAGGTGCCAGGATGGTGGTCCCTCCAGGTTAAAGGTGGTGCTGTTCAATGCCAGGTCAGTAAACGGAAAAACCTCTACTATTAAAGATCTAATTCAAGAGGAACAAGCTGACCTGGCTTGCATAACGGAGACCTGGTTGGACGAAGGGGGTGGGGTTAACCTCACTCAACTCTGCCCACCGGGTTACTCTGTGCAGCACCAACCAAGACTTGGAGGGCGGGGAGGCGGAGTCGCAGTTGTCTATAAGGAGGTTATCCCCCTGATCAGGCGTCCCATCCCACAGTCATCTGCATTTGAATGTGCCGGCTTCAGGATAGGTGACCGGGACAGGATAGGGATTCTGTTAGTGTACCGACCACCCCGCTGCACTACAGTCTCCCTACCTGAGCTAGCAGGAGTGGTCTCGGACATGGCGTTGAGCTCCCAACGGCTTCTAGTCCTGGGAGATTTCAATGTCCATGCCGAGGCCTCTCTCTCCGGTGCGGCTCAGGACTTCATGGCCGCCATGGCAACCATGGGCCTGTCCCAATTAATATCTGGTCCCACCCATAGTGCCGGGCACACATTGGATTTGGTATTTTCTCAAGGATGGGATGGGGGTGACGGGGTGGAGGAGCTGACCATCGCTCCATTGCCATGGACCGATCACCACCTGATCAGGTTTAGACTAACTGCGCCTCCCAACCTCTGCAGGGGTGGTGGACCCATTAGAATGGTCCGCCCCAGGAGACTTATGGATCCAAATGGTTTCCTGATGGCTCTTGGGAACTCTCCCACCTCCTTGGCTAGCGATTCTGTCGATGTCCTGGTCTCTCGCTGGAATAGTGAGCTGACCAGGGCCATTGATACAATCGCTCCGGAACGCCCCCTCTCGAATAGCCGAGCTAAACCAGCCTCTTGGTTTACTAAGGAGCTGGCAGCAATGAAGCGAGAAAAGAGGAGGCTAGAGTGCGTGTGGCGCCGGAACCCCACCAAACCTGCTCAAACACTTCTGAAGACCTATTTAAGGTCTTACGAGGTGGCAATAGCGGCGGTGCAAAAAACATTCCTGACAGCCAATATTGCATCTGCGAAAAATCGTCCAGCTGAGCTCTTCCGAGTTGTCAGGGGTCTGTTACATCCGCCAAAAAGCGAGGCCTCAGACAACTCGGTGGCTCGCTGTGAAGCATTTGCTCGATTCTTCGCGGATAAAATTGAGCGGATTCGGTCGGGTTTTGACGTCATGTTAACGGCAGTCTCTGGGGATGTAACGAGAGCATCTGCTTGTCCAGGTTTGTTGGATTCGTTTCAATTGGTTCAGCTTGAGGATGTGGACAGGATCCTTGGAGAGGTGCGACCCACTACATGCATCCTAGACCCCTGCCCATCCTGGCTGGTCAAGGAAGCCAGAGGGGGTTTGGCAGAGTGGGTGAAGGTGATGGTTAATGCCTCCTTACAGGAAGGAAAATTTCCAGCGAGCTTAAAACAAGCTATTATAAAACCGCTGTTGAAGAAACCATCACTGGATCCCACTCAATTCGACAACTATCGGCCAGTTTCCAATCTCCCCTATTTGGGCAAAGTCATGGAACGTGTGGTGGCAACACAACTCCAGGGGTTTCTGGTAGACACTGATTATCTAGATCCGGCACAGTCTGGCTTTAGGCCGGGACATGGAACTGAGACAGCCTTGGTCGCCTTGGTAGATGATCTTCGCCGGGAGCTGGACAGGGGGAGTGTGTCCCTGTTAGTTCTGCTGGACCTCTCAGCGGCCTTCGATACCGTCGATCACGGTATCCTTCTGGGATGCCTCTTGGACATAGGGCTCGGGGGCACTGCATTGCAGTGGCTCCGATCCTTTCTTGAGGAACGGTCCCAGAAGGTGTTATTGGGTGACACCTGTTCGGCCCCACAACCGTTGTTGTGTGGAGTCCCACAGGGTTCAATCTTGTCCCCGATGTTATTTAACATCTACATGAAGCCGCTGGGGGAGATCATTCGGAGTTTCGGAATGAGATGTTATCTCTATGCAGATGATGTCCAAATCTGTCACTCCTTCCACCTGTCACCAAGGAGGCTGTCCAGACCTTGAACCGGTGCTTGGCCGCTGTGTCGGACTGGATGAGAGCTAACAAATTGAAACTAAATCCAGACAAGACAGAGGTCCTACTGGTCAGTCGTAAGGCCGACCAGGGCATAGGGTTACAGCCTGTGTTAGACGGGGTTACACTCCCCCTGAAGACGCAGGTTCGCAGCTTGGGAGTGATCCTGGACTCATCGCTGAGCCTGGAAGCCCAGGTCTCAGCGGTGGCTGGGAGAGCTTTTGCACAATTAAAACTTGTGCGCCAGCTGCGCCCGTACCTTGGGAAGTCGGATTTGGCCACGGTGGTCCACGCTCTTGTTACATCCCGATTAGATTACTGCAACGCACTCTACGTGGGGTTGCCTTTGAAGACTGCTCGGAAACTCCAACTAGTCCAGCGAGAGGCAGCCAGATTGCTCACCGGGGCGTCATACAGGGAGCATACCACCCCCCTGTTATGTCAGCTCCACTGGCTGCCGATCCAGTTCCGAGCACAATTCAAGGTGCTGGTTTTGACCTATAAAACCCTATACGGTTCCGGCCCAGTGTATCTGTCCGAACGGATCTCCCTCTACGTCCCACCCCGGAGCCTAAGATCTTCTGGGGAGGCCCTGCTCTCGACCCCGCCTCTATCACAAGTGAGATTGGCGGGGACGGGGAGCAGGGCCTTCTCGGTGGTGGCCCCCCGCCTATGGAACTCTCTCCCCGGGGAAATCAGATCTGCAACCACGCTCCTTTCCTTCAGGAGAAAACTAAAAACATGGATCTGGGACCTGGCATTCGGACAAGCGGGTAAATAAAGAAGAACTCCATTGATGGCTAGGAAATGACTAACGGATTGGTCATGTGGAACTCTGGAAACGAAACGCTGATTATAAGAATTGACTTTTATAGGATGTTTTATATGATGTTATACAATGTCTCAGGTACCAGTTGTTGATGTTTTATTGTGTCTATAGTTTTAATTGC